AAAGAAAGAAAGAAAGAAAGAAAGAAAGAAAGAAAGAAAGAAAGAAAGAAAGAAAGAAAAGAAAGAAAGAAAAGAAAAGAAGCAAAAGTATAATTCATTGAATTGTGGGCATAAAAAGGAAAAATTAAGATGTGGCCTCTGCACTCTGCATCACTTCAAGGAGGAAAAGAGGGCCTTGCACGAGGAGTCCGGGTGAGAGCACCAGCATCTGTCACAGAAGCAAGCTTCAGTCCTCATGTAGTCACGGCAGTTTTCCTGGAGACTGCATGTGGGCTTTTCTTTCTGAGTTCAGAAATGAAATGACATAAATTAATTGGCTTACAAAAAGCCAACAGTCACAAGGGCAGAGTAGTTCCATGGGAGAAAAAGAAATGAAGTTCAAAAACAGTTGTGGTTTCTTCACATTTTTACATGAATTTATTTTAATGTGGTAATATTTATTGTGAATCACTTGTCTAGGACAGAGTATTCCAAATATCTGAATTGGTATGCTTTCATATCTCTACCCTTGATCTTCTTTTTAAAATACATCACTAGGCCCCAAAGCCTTAGGCAGTTTTTATTGTTTTTTGTTTTCTTTTTGTTTGTTTGTGTTTTGTTTTTGTTTTTGTTTTTGTTTTTGAAACAGGGCTGCTCTCTGTAGCCTTGGCTGTTCTGGACTTACTTTGTAGACCAGGCTGGCCTCAAACCCTTAGGGATCCACTTGCCTCTGCCTCCCAGAGTGCTGGGATCACAGGTGTGTATCCCCCCCCCCCCCCCCAGCTTAGACTTTCTTGAAATGAAAGTCTAAGGAAGGCAATGAAATAAGGAAGGCAATCTCTCTGAGTTTGAGGACAGCCTGCTCTATAAAGAGAATCTAGGACAGCCAAGGCTACACAGAGAAACCCTGTCTCAAAAAACCAAACAAAAAAAGGCAAGTAATGGATTATTTTTTGAGACAGGATCTCAGTTAGCCCAGTCTGTCCTTGACTCCACTTTGTGGCTGAGAGTAAACTTGAACTCCTGATCCTCCTGCCTTACCCTACCAAATGCTACACTTATAGGCGTGTAGTACGCGCAGCTAATAATGAGTTTTTGAATGTTGAAAGCATCCATCAATAAATGTAATTATGGATTTAATATGTTTACTCATGGTATGAGCTCTTCTATGTAATTATGTTTGGTTAAGGATTTACTTAAAGCTTCTCCAGTAATCTTAAGACTTCATTCATACAGTTACCAGATGAACAGAAATCTACTAAAAGTAATTAAATTCCTAAGGATCCATGGTTTCATCCATTTCTCATGTATTAAAAACTATGTGTACAGGGTACATCTTAGTTTGCTGTCTACTCTGAGTCTGAGACTGTGCTCAGGGACTCATAGAATACCTATCTAGTCTTCTAAACAGTGCCCTACACTCATCAGGGAACCTTTAACTTGTGTCACATGGTAAATAATGATTAAAGCCGGATATCACACATTTTTAAACGTTTTAAAATTAATATTTTTCTTTGATTTACATATAGAAATCTTTTTCCCTTGACAGATTCCAAATCCCCTGTTTGACCTGGCTGGAATAACATGTGGACACTTCCTTGTACCTTTTTGGACCTTCTTTGGTGCAACCCTGATCGGAAAAGCCATCATTAAAATGCATATCCAGGTAATCATAGCTGAGTCACTGCTTAGTGACCTTGGTTCTTGCTTTTCTTACTTAGATAATAGAGCTTACTTAGATAACAAACCCTGCAAATTCAGAGGTATGTAAATTTCCTTGTTTTTCTTCTTCCCTCTTTCTTTTTGCTTTCTTTCTTTTTTTTTTTTTCATGAAACTGTCCAACTTATCAAATAAAACTAGTGTTCTCATGTAAGAAAATGCATGTAATTTTCTTGCATAGTAAAAGCTGTAGTTTCCTTACTGAGCACCACCTGAAGGAGTGTCACCCTTCATTGATTCTTACTTTCTTTCACATGCTCCACATAGCACCTCCTCTCTTGCCACCATTATCTTTACTGAAAGCCAGGCAGATGTGAGTGTGGGGAAGAGAAGGGTAGCTGAAGAGGTGAGGAAATGTGGGTTGTGTGGTTAGAGAAGTGAGAATGTTCTAGCCCCCAAAGCCACTCTTAACATACATACACACACACACAAATAGAAAGAGGCTGAGAACCTGAGTGAGGGAGAAATGGTTGTGTGTTAAACTGTGAATTCTTTCATATTTTGGGCAACTCTCCCTAATAAAAATGGACCTGAAAGGATTTGTTTTTAATCAGTGTGTCAATCCCCAGTGACTCTTCCTAACACTTCCCTGTCTCTAGTTTTTTGTTGTTGTTGTTTTTTAAGATTTATGTGTGCTTCAGGCCAGAAGACAGCACCAGATCTTATTACAGATGGTTGTGAGCCACCATGTGGTTGCTGGGAATTGAACTCAGGACCTTTGGAAGAAGAGTCAGTGTTCTTAACCTCTTGAGCCATCTCTCCAGCCCCCCCTGTCTCTAGTTCTTAAAGGGGAGAGTGAGGGGCTGGAGAAATGCTCAGCAGTTAAGAGCCTCTGCTCTTCCAGAGGACCCTGGTTCAGTTTACCGCACCCACACGGCTGCTAACAACCATGTTTAGCTCTAATTCCAGGGGATCTGACATCCTTTTCTGTCCTCTGTGGGCACTGCATGCACATGGTACACGTACATACATGCAGGCAAAACATCCATACACACATAAATAAAGCGCCAGGCTTGTTGGTGTATGCCTTTAATCCCAGCACTCACTGTGAGTTCAAGGCTAGCTTAGTCTACATAGCTAGCTGCCAGGGATACAAAGACAGACCCTGTCTCATAAACTGTGGGGAAGGGACAGGAACTTGCCTTTCAAGCTTACTGAGTCTGTCTTCTGCTCTCAAAATAATCACTTAAAACAACAGTGATATCTTTTTTTTGTTGTTTTGTTTTGTTTTTCTACACAGGGTTTTTCTGTGTAGCCTTGACTGTTCTGGACTCTTTTGTAGACCGGACAGGCCTCAAAAAGATCCTCCTGCCTCTGCCTCTTGAGTGCTGGGACTACAGACATGTGCCAATACGCCCAGCTCCAAACACCAGATTTTAATACTGCAATGTAACTTACATGCTTAAAATATATACACTATATGAAACTTTTAAGAATGAAATATTTTCTTTGTAATATTTCTCAAAGCAGTTTTTTGTTTGTTGGTTGGTTGGTGTTTTTTTCTAGGGGATAAAGAATACTGACATAACTTTTTGAGTTGTCAATATCTAGTCATTTTAATTCCTATTATAATGTGTTTGAATGTTTTATGTGCATATAATATGTGTGCACTACATTACGCCTAGTGCCTAAGGAGACTGGGAGAATCTCTCTTAGATGCTGAAAGCCAAATTGAATTCCTCTTCAAAAGTAGCAAGTGCTCTTCGCTACTGAGCCATCTCTCTAGCCCCATAATCTGTAAATTCGTCTTATTATAAATTTTTATTGCATGATTCCTTTTTATTCTTTGAAATTTTTGTACAATGTGTTTTTATTATATTCACCCCCTTGTACCACCAAAGTTTGTTTGTTTGTTTGTTTGTTTATTTATTTATTTATTAATTTTTAATCTACTTAGTCCAGTTTGTGCTGTCCATGTACTGGTAGGTAAATGGCCCATGAAGCATTTAGACCTTCATTAGAGACCACACCCATAATGAAAATTATTGTAACTTTAATGCCAAGCACCTTATCTATAGATATATATGCATAGCCTACCAGAACTTTCAGAAGAGGGGTCAAAGTTGCCATATTTTTTAATACCCTAAATAAATTTTCTTCTAAGATATACCAATTTTGCTTTGTTTTGTTTGTTTGTTTGTTTGTTTGTTTTGAGAAAGGGTTTTTTTTCTCTTTGTAGTCTGGGCTGTCCTGTAACTCAGTCTGCAGACCAGGCTGGCCTCCAACTCAGAGATCCGCCAGCCTCTGCCTCCCCAGTTCTGGGATTAAAGGTGTGCACCACCACCACCGGGCTTGAGTCATATTGTACCTCATACTTTAAAACGCTTCAGTGGAATTCTGGTATAAAAGAAGTATTCTAAGTACAGTGGTCCTACTTAGAGTGGCCAGAAGGTTTTATGTGTTGGTAAGAATGCTGACATCTGGAATTTGAACCCTGGTCAAGCTGAGTATTCTCTCCATCTTTCAACCAAGGGAAGTAAATGTTTTACTGCCTGCTGTGTATCAGGCCCAATGACTGGTATGAGGTAGTAATGCAGATTTCAGAGGGAAACAAACTTAAGACCTGGCATTCAAAACAAGTTCCGGAAGTTCAAGTTCCTTCTCTGCCTACTGTGTAGAGAGAACATAAAGAAAATCCATTTGTGCTTCTGAGGCAAGGATCTGGGTTTCTTTTCTGCCTGTGGGATGTTTACTGTGTTCCATTGTAGATAGTAGTTTGCTTTCTAAAGGCATGTCACTTGGTGTGCATCCAGATGGAGCTTGGAACAAGCCTTTCTCGTTCCTTGAGTAGGCAGTATGAGTGAGTAATATAAACATTTTGGTCAGTTCTAAAGTCCAAAGAAACACTCCCACACAGTTTTTTTGTGCCCTTCTAAAACCTATCTCATCTTGTTTGCTTTTCTTTCACTCTTTTTTTTTTCCTCAGCTTAACATTAGACAGCCTTCTAATAAGTTATTTTTATTAATGTCTTGCTGTCTGTTAATCTTCCTTGAAAGTTTTCTACCAGCACATCTACTATGTTGGATCAGAATTTTCCTGTTCACTGGGTAGATGCAACTTCCTTGCCTAGAAGATGATCCTTGGAGACCTTACATTATCTTGTTCCCAAATAATGAAGAAAATTGTCTGCGTTCATCTTGTTTACTTAACATGACTTTTTTGCCTGTCTGCATCCCCATAAAAAAGAACACATACACACACTCACAGATTTTGCGCCCCAGCGGGCAGGTTTGTTCCTTGGCTCACTGAGGTGTTCTAATGCTGATAATGGGCTCTGGCGTGTAGTAGGCACACACCAACAGTTTGGAGGCCGAGTCACTTAAGCTCCGGGCTGTTAATAAGGGCACTTAACACACACCTCTTCTTCACTCTCTCTGCCACCGTTAGTCTCCTCTGCTCGCATTCTTTCTCCTACACAAACCTTTCTCTTGTTCCTCTTTTACTTTTTGTTTTTTTGAGATAGGGCTGCTCTATAGCCTTGGCTTTCCTGGAGCTCTCTCGTAGCCAAGGCTGGCCTCAAACTTAGAGATTCTTCTGCCTCTGCTTCCTGAGTGCTGGGATTAAAGGTGTGCTCTACCACTGCCTGGCTCTCTTCTTTCTTGAATGCACATGAGTGGGAGATGTCTAGTAGTCTGTGCCTCATCTTTATCTGGTAGAATCCCCACTCAGACCTCCATCTTTGAGGACTGGGACATGGGTTTTTAAATGGCTGACACATTTTATGTCCTACCCAGCACAGTGAGTTTTTAAGCTGTTGCATATAAAAAGGAAATTTGTTTTGTTTCTCAAGCAATGAGGTTGTGCAATTATTGGGCACTGGCTGATTTTTTGCATTGTTAGGCAATGATAGTAGGGAAAACTTATGGTGTTGAAATCACTGAAAGTCACACCATTATTTCTGTTGATTAGTGAAAGATTTATGGCTCCAAATAACTGGGTTTTGGTGTGGACCTCTAAACTAGTGCTCCCCACCCCCCAAGCTTACCCTAACAGCTGTCTGGTTCCCCTGGTAATATCCTTCCAACATTTCTCTAACCCTCATGTGTTGTTCGTCCTCCTGGAGGGCTCTACTTTGGGGCTACCTGCTACTTGCCTCCAGTGAGTAGATAAAAAGAAGGCTGATGTTCTTTCTTCCCACCCTCCCCTGCGATTACACTGGCTACAGTATTTATTTAACAAACAACAACAGCACACTAAAGAGCTGTTATATGAGAGAATTATTATGCATATAAGGTAGATTAAATAGAAACTATTGAATCCCTAGTCAGTCACACAGCTAAACGTATCCTTTCCTGTACTTTCATAGTGTTGGCTTCTTTCCTCCTCCCTTCTCTTTTTTGCTTCTTTTAGTTTTTCCAGACAGGGTTTCTCTGTGCAGCCCTGGCTGTCCTGGAACTCCCGTTGTAGACCAGGCTGGCCTTGAGCTCACAGAGATTCTCCTGCCTCTGCCTCCCAAGTGCTGGGGTTAAAGGCGTGGGCCACCACTGCTTGGCTTCTTATTTTCTTTTTACTACTAGTGGGAGTTGAATGTGTATGTGTGTGTGAGAGAGAGACAGAGACAGAGAGACAAAGAGATTATGCTTCTGTACTTACCATTTGTAGAAAATGCACTTCTTCAAGCACAAGAAGTGTTCTCAGCTTTTTGTTTCCTAAAAGCCCTTCATATTGCCTTATGTTTTTCATAATAAGTACTTTATGCTCACATGTATTGAATTGAGCTAAGAATATTTGCTACCTAATAGTCCTAAAGGTTTTTTTTGTTATGTTTTGTTTTAATGTCAGGTATCGATGTCTTTAATCAATAGAGGGAGAACTTAATTCTCACCAAACTAAAAACTTGGCAAGTCTGATAAAGACCCTTCAGCCCTAAGCAGAAGGTCAGGCTTGTTCGGGTTCTGTGAACTTGATAGTGTTGATGTAAAACCTAAAAAGATAGGCTGTCTTCCTAAAATCTCTGAGATAGATTTAGGTCAGCCTCCTGTTGTTGAGTACTCCTCCTTGAGTTCTGCAGAGCCATTTGGGAACCCATGGCTTCTCCTTGTACAGAGCTCTAAGATGCACAGAGCAACTTCACCTCCACTATCCCTCCAGGCTCCGGTTTCATGACTCACGTTTTCTCTGAGACATAGTCCTGTATCCTAGGAAAAGACTGCAGCTGTGCTTAAGGAAAAGCATCTTTAAAGTATTGACTACCAGTCGAAGTAGATGGTCTCTAATTAAAAGCAAACAAACAAAAACACAACACTGTATTAATTTACAGTTAGAGACAGCACATTACCTTTTTTTAGACAGATGTACTTTAAACTTTACAGGTGTTTCTTTTAAATGACTGTTTTTTTAACTGGTTTTCTTTACAGAAAATCTTTGTCATAGTAACTTTCAGCAAGCACATCGTGGAGCAGATGGTGGCTTTTATTGGGTGAGTGATTTCTTAAACAATAATGTTGTCTTTTGAATAGAGTCAATATGTGTGGAAGAGTAAATTGGGATATAATTAACACAGCTCTGTTTTTTGAGAAAAAAAGTGTTTGCTCTCTTAGTTATTGAAAAGATATTCCTCCCCAACTGACTGGAAGAACGAAGCTAACTTTTTCCTTTCTTTGGAAACTAAACAGGTATCAGTTCACATAGTTCTTGATTTTAAAGAGCTTTGGGGTTAGATTATGTGGCCTTTCTTTGTAGGAAAGGCATACATGTGTCATTACAGTTTAATGGAGCTTTGGACCAACTACATAGTTGCATGTAAGTTAAATATAAATTTTACATAATGGTTTTGGGTTTTCAAGATAGGGTTTCTCTGTGTAGCCCTGGCTGTCCTGGAACTCCCTTTGTAGACCAGGCTAGCCTTGAACTCACAAAGAGACACCTGCCTTTGCCACCTGAATGATGGGATTAAAGGCTTGTACCACCATGCCAGGCTTACATAATGTTTTAGTATTTCTTTATAGGGGGTACAATGGAATAATATTCTCAGCATTTGTTAGGTAGGAAGCCGTTACTTCACTAAAGAAAAATTAGGCCAGTTAAAGAGCTAAACTATTCGATGTTTTTAATGTTGTTATTTTGCAGTTTTTAGAAGTAAGACCATTTGAACATACAACTCAAATGATAATGTCACAAGATTGTCAGCTTCCAGTCAACAAAACAGTGAAGACATACCTGTTTGAATTAACTTTTTCAACTAGATTATGAACAGAGCTGGGTGTTAGAAATGAAATCGAGAATTGTTGGATTTTTAGCTTGATTGCTTCATCCTTTTTGTGTTTTGTGTTTTGTTTTTTTTTTTTCAGAGAGGATTTTTCTTTCATTTAGTAATAGAGTGGTGCCATAATGGGATTGTGTTAAGTTCAAGTATATTTCGCTTGCTTTTAACGTAAATCTATTTTTTTAAGATTGATTGATTTATTACATATGAGCACTCTATTTGCATGTGTGCCTGCATGACAAAAGAAAGCATCAGGTCTCATTATAGATGATTGTGAGCCATGATGTGGTTGCTGGGTATTCAACTCAGGACCTCTGGAAGAGCAGACAGTGCTCTTAACCTCTGAGCCATCTCTCCAGCCCCATAAATCTCTTATCTTAAAGTCACTGAACAACCAGTGTCAATCAACCAAGTTTTTATTGTTTAAAATTAATTGCTACTTGGTGGGTAGTTTGTGTTGGTTTATTATTCGTCAAACCATTCACTGTATAGCATGACTCTTTTCTGTATGTTTTATTGTAAAATCGTTTTTATAATATTTTATATCTCCAATGAAATAACTAAGGAAAATACATTCTTGAGAATATACTAAATAGAACCAAGCATTGGTTTACTAATTCCTAAACTTCTGATTATTAATATGGGGTATAACTTGTGCATGAAACTGTAACCACTTTGGCCAGTGGTGGTGGTACATGCCTTTAATCTCATCTCAGCACTGGGAAGACAGAGGCAGGGGGATCTCTGTAAGTTCAAAGCCAGCCAGATCTAGTTCCCAGACAGCCAGGGCTACATAGAGAAAAAAACAAAGAAAGAAACTGTAAGCACTCTGATCTTTATGCTGCCTGAATCCATGTAAACTACATGTTTTGTATGTCACTTTCAAAGCAAAAGAAGAGAAGGTGGGTCTCCTGTACAAGCCTGTACAGCCCTTGGGGAAGCTGAGGCAGGGTATAGAATTTGAGGCCATCCTGAGCTACATTTTCCGGGGAGTGTGGAAGCTGTATATTTTTTACTCCTATTTTTGAAATATGAGGAAAATATTTATCAGTTCTTAGAGCTTATTCCACCTCCCTTGAGAAGACTGGAAGGAGAGACACAGGGTTAGCTGTCACACGTGCCCACACACTGTAGACTGGCGGTGCTTCACGTGGCGCCCACTTTCTTCGTTTCTCTTTTTCTCAGAATAAATGTGTGTAGCAGGAATAGTTTCAGCTCCTTTACACCCGCAGCACCAGCAACTGTTTCTCCAGGCTTTGGGGTTTCTAAAAGCTCGTATCACACGGCTGCCTGTCTCGTGTGCCCAGACTACTTCCAGTCCTTCAGCTCTGTCACCATGCCACTGTCAGTATCCTTTCCACAGTTTGCCTGCCATGTTACCAACAATATCCTCAGTCATTCACTCATTTATTTCCTAACACCCTCACTTGTTTTTCTTTTGTTCTTAAAATAAAACCAAAACTCCTTGAGAAGGTGTGAGGCTGCGAGTATCCTTCTGCTCAGACAATGTCACAGATGCTTGGGTCCCACCATTCATCTTTGAGCCTGCGGTTCCCTTTGCCCACCTCAGGATGTCTTAACCTTTGCACTCGTGATGTTTCAGGGCAGATAATTCTTTGTTATGAAGGACTGTCCTATGCATTGATAAGACAGCTCGTGTTCTTGTCCTCTGCACATTATATGCCCTCAGCAACTTCCAGTCTGACAGTCTCGTTATTTCAGGGGATAAAGCAACTGCTCAGCAGAATGCCATTTGGGCAGCGTGTTTGAGGCCCCAGGCTCAGTGTCTTGAAATGCAAATAACAAGTTTCTTCTGAGAGCCATGAATAGCGTAGCATAGAGGCCTCACATGTAGAATGCCCCCCATGTGTTCACCAGCTCCACAAAAGTGTGTGTTCCACGCTGGTGCCAAATGTATGGAGGATAAGTCTGACACTCCCATGGTCAAAACGCCCTGTTATATCTCAGCTTTTATCCTCAGAAAACCTTCTGTAATTTGTCAAATTCTCGCAAGCCAGGGACCTCTCTGTACCACAACATACATGGCATGTACTTACTATCTTATGTGTATGCTTCTAAGTGTATGCTTACTTGTGTGCCCTGTTTCCTCCCACCCCTGCTTATTTATCTTAATGTGCATTGGTATTTTGCCTACACGTATGTCTTTCTGTGTAAGGGCATCTGTCCTGGAACTAGAATTACAGACAGTTGTGAGCTGCCATATAGGTGCTGGGAATTGAACCTGGGTCCTCTGGAAGAGCAGCCAATGCTTTTAACCACTGAGCCATCTCTGCAGCCCCAGACTTACCTAAACTTACTTAAACTTAACCTTCACCTCATGAGTGCTGGAATGACAGGCGCGTCCCACCAGGCTCAGCTGACATGTCTTTGGGAACAAATCCAAGACTTCTTGTGTGCTGAGCCAACTCAGCTACCTCCCTAGCCCGGTGGCCATCCTTTTTCTATCAGCCCCTAGAGGTCTGATGCCCAGTGATGAGATTAAAGGCATGTTCCTCTTGCCCAGCATCTGTGAGCTTAATGTCAGAGGTTCAGTGTCGACTGACAGCCTGACTCACATAGAGCACACACTCAGCAAATGAGCACATGCTGTTCAAATAAACATCCAGCCTATAAAATCAGCAGATCGTTTGGATACTCATATTCTTCTACTTGTTTCCTTAGATTTTGGAGTTTCTAGGAAATTCTGCTATTTCTCTACAGTATGTAGAAGTTGAAGTGCCTTTACTATCCAGACAACTTAATTAAATTAGAGGACATTCTGTTTCTCAAAGTCCCCGATTCTTTTAAACTGCACTAGCATGGTTCCTCAGAGAATCCCAGTGAGGGAGCAGAGAGCTGCCTCTGGCTTAGGTACCCACATTGATGGCTCCTGACCACCTACAACTCTGGCTCCCAGGCCCCCAGTCCTCTAGCCTCCAAGAGCACATACCTACATGCAGGCACATGTACATATACATTATTAATAATTACATATAAGCCATTTTGCAGTGGTGCACATCTTTAATCCTAGCATTCTGAGAAGCAGAGTCAGGCAGATCTCTGAGTTCGAGGACAGTCAGGGCTACAGAAAATCTTGTTTCAGAAAATCAGTATATAAAAGATAAAGGGAAAGCCTGGGACTGTAGCTTCAGTATTTGTCTAGCATGCAAAGCCCTATATTCAGCCTGAAACAGGTATGGTATCACATGCCTTCTAATCCCAGCACACAAGGAGGTACAGGCAAGAAGAGTGAAAATTCAAGGTCATCTTCAATTACACAGAGGTGGAGGCCAGCCTGACTACAAGAGACTGTCTTTAAAAAAAAAAAGAAAGAAAAAGAAAGATTTTCATTCTAATACGTTCAAGAGTTACTGCCTTCGTATTTTTATTGAATCGGATAGCTAGTGTTATGTTTTCAAAGTTGTTTTCAGACATGATAGAATTCCCTGATATCTTTGTCTTCTTCCCAGAACTAGCTACAAGGGTTATCTCAGCTTCTAGATTAGCTATTAAATCATGTAAATGTGGGACAGGAGTGATGGCTTAGCGGTTAATTAAACAAACAAATCTTTAAATATATTTAAATAATGTAAGTTAATTAGATCTGGCTTCATTTTCAGATGCTAGAAGACAGCTATTTAGTGTTTTGTCAACAATAAAATTATAATCACAATCTCTAACCAAACATGGCAAGATTTGTTTTCATGCATTTTGAAACAGGACATTGTTGTTTTATTTTGTCTTTTTTGAGACAGGGTTTCTTTGTGTGTAGCCCTGGCTGTTCTGGACTCATTTTGTAGCCCTTGCTGGCCTGGCACGCACAGAGATTCTCCTGCCTCTGCCTCCGAAGTGTTTGGATCAAAGGTGTGTGCCACCACCAGGCTTGTTTTTGTCTTTTGAAACATAGCCCTGGCTGTCTTCAAACTCAGAGATAAGCCTGCCTCAGCCTCTGCCTCCACTAGAATTAAAGGCATGTACTGCCATACCTGGCTGAAATAGGAAATGTTTTTAAACATAGGTGTTGAAGATGAAAATTACCAATAGTGCTGGAGGTATAGCTCTGTGGTAGTGTTGGCCTAGCATACAGAGGATAGTTAGCACCATACAAAAATGAGTATACCACCAAACCTAGAATGATGGCATGGCTTCACATTGCTCAGGTTTGTTTGGTTCTTACTCTGTAGCTGAGGATGATCTTGAACTCTTTTCTTTTG